AAAAAAAAAAAATAAATAAACTTTTAATCACAATCCCAAACATATTCAAAATTTTTAAAGGTGCTAGCAACCGAAAAGCTAGTTAAGCCTCTTTCCTCTTGGTTGAGAATAATTTTAGTAACTTAAAATTTTCCTAAGCAAATTAAGGATATTATGTTTTTTACATATGTTTATTAATTAAAAATAAAAACACTTGTCATTATAGTCCAATTAAAATTGCTAAACTATGTCTTCATTCTAATGAAGGCTTTTCCTTCCTTGCGTTTCCCTCCCTTTTACTGCACACCCTAGTCCAACATGGACTACGAGTGCCGGCCTAGGGCTCTTAAGTATCCCCTTTGAATTTTTTTATTCTTAATTTTGAACAAATTTAAATTTAAATTAATTAAACTAAATTAAATTAATTCTCTTTATCAATTTAAATTCAAAACTTAATTAATTTATTTTATTTATCAAAATAATATTTTTACATAAATTAATCCATATTCATAAATCTAAATTTATAAAAATCACAATCCACACAAAACAAGAATATGATTTTATTGATATTTATCATAATAGTAGAGAGAAACATTTATAAATTAAAATTGATATTTAGTAATATATTATGGCCACCAAAAATAATAGAAATATTTATGGTTTCCACAAATTTTCCTATGACCATTGCATTTGTATAATTCAATCATTTCATCATTAATATTTCAATTAAAAAAGATATGTGTCATGTGTCATCACCCTTAAAGTTGAATGCACTTTTTTTTATTCTCAAAATACACATGCTTCTTAAATGAAACTTTATTCTTGCAGTGGCCGTGGATACACTTGCAAGTTGTTTGGCCAAAGATCTCTTCTCCCATGAATTCGAGAAGGATAAATTTTATCTTCACTCATTCATTATTTTTATATGATTTGTAATGTACTTAACAATTATATTACTTACAACCTGTGATTGTTTTTAATAATATTAAAATACTACTACACTTACTTATTTTGATTCACCTATATGTGATATATAACTACATAAAAAGAAATTTGGTTAGCTAACAAAGCATTATAAACATGATAGTTTTTGTATTACTGATATCTTATCTCAATAATATAAATAACTAATTAATAGACAATTTAAGTATGTTAATATTACCTTACATAATTCTCACTGATAGCTATGGTTGTTGTTAGATTTTTAATGCAACAGATATCTTAAAGATTTCACCGACATTAACGCATCTGAAAAAATAAAAATTAATATATGGTAAATAAATGTCTCATGCATGACTAAAAAAAGTCATAATCACAAGTATATAGAGTTGAATTAAGGACACACTCTAATAAAAAAGACTTGAAAGCCATCGGAGTTGATGAGAGATGGAATGAAGATGGTAATCGGGGAGAAGAACGGTGCAGCGAAGAGAGAGAGACGATGGAGGCAGAGAAGGGTTTTCGCGAGAGTGGTGTTTATGTGGCCAACGGTGTGTTTAGGAGAAAGATTTTTTGAACGAGTGGGCCTTGGAGAGCTTGTGGGTTGGACCCTTTTTTATGGGTTCATCGCTGCCGATTTGGGCCAGCACAAGGGTTCGAAATTTCAGCCTGATCCACTTTTGTTCTCCTTTTGTGCCTTTAACAGTTAGATCCACAAACTTTCCTCTTTAGCATGATAGTCCTGAAATATAAGACTAAGCATATTAAAAATAGACACTGTAGTCACAAAATCTGCAAAATCAAATAATATGTATTGATTTGCAAAATAAATACAAGTTACAATAAACTTGAAGAAAAAAATGGGAAACAATCTCTAATTTGGAGTGTTACAATGCACGTGCTCGGGTTTTGAAGAGCAACACATCTTAGAATATCATGATTCTCTGATTAAGAGCTGAATTTAGAAGGGCAAGGGCTTAAACTTGTTCTTGCCCTTCAAGGGATTTCAGACTTGCACTTGAAACTTTTCCTCTCTGACATGGATTTGGAGCTTACCCTTGACAGGAGGTTGGGGTTTGAAACTTCGAGAATTGTTGAAGGAGCTCGAAGCTTGTTGTTCCTCTCCTTTTCTCTTTCTTCCTTCTTCCTTCTCTCTTTTTTTTTCCTCTTCATCAAATGATGGCCTATTTATAGGCAAAGGAACTTTACTAAATGACCTCAAATACCCTTCACATTAAAAATAATTTGGTCATTTTAATATATTTATTTATTTATTAAAGAAAAAATATCTCTTTAAAGATTTATTACCTTAACTTCCAAGATTTTTATTAGGGTAAATATATTTTAATTTTAACATTTTTTTATGCCTACAGACACGTTAAAAGATGATTTTAATTTCAATTTTTCTTTTCTTTTTTCTCCTGTTTTCTTTTCCACTTTTTTGCTTTTAACTTTTTTAGAATATGTGAAAAGCAAAGACTAAGTCAAAAATTGGGTAAGGACATTTGGTATAGCTTGCTTTCTTATATTGACTAATTTCTTTTACTTTTGATTGTTTAATGACTTTGTCACTTGAGTTCTTAATATATATTTTATCTTATGAAGTCTTTTAAGTATAAGAAAGGTTTTTTTTTTCTTTTTTAATTAGCGCAGGGTAGTTAGTTAATTCTCTTGATTTTAGTTAATAATATTTATTTAGGATTGAAGAAAATCAAGTTGTCTTGATAATTCAAATATTAAAAAAAAAGACTAAAATATTTTTAATGAATCAATACACAAAAAAATTTATTAAGAATATTTGAACTAACAAAAACTCCATCAAGTTGGTATCTACTAACCTAAATACTTTGATTGAAAATCAAGTCAAGTTCAAATCTTTTGTACTATTATTGTGTAATTTCAAAATAAATCATGTTATTTAAAGTGCCAAAACGTTATATTTTCATTTTTCTCTATTTATTCTTCTATGTCTAACTGATCTCATGTAACATTTAAAAATAATTTAACAGGATCAATCTTTTTTTCTTTCTTTCTTTCTTTTTAAATAGGATCAATCTAATTGAAGCAATCTAATCTAATTTAAATTACTTTGGTTATAATACATCAATGAATTTCAATTTAAAATTTTTACTAACTAATTAAATTTATGTGGTTTGCAAAATATTAAAAATTCAAATCAAACTAAATGTAAATTAAAGTATGTAAAGTTAGATTGGCTTAAAATTTTCAAATCATAGTACTAACGGTGTGAATTGCACTTCTATATAAATATATTAGAATACCTCATACTTTTTTTTTTAATCTTACCTCTGATACTCTTTTTAATTTTATTTATTCTTTGGCTGACCAAAAAAAGTATATCACAACTTTTGTCAAACGACCCGTAGTAAAAAAAAAAAGGGGGCAAATTAGTGCCAAGCCTGTACAGTTTTTCTATTTTCTCACAGAAGCCCTCAAGGAAAAAAGTGACATGTAAATCCCTAAATGCCTAGATTTGAGTTAATTAATTTTTGTGTTAACGGGAAGATCATGTTAGTCTTTTTTTTTCCACTTGTGTGGGGTAGTTCCTTTATATTTAGTTACTGATATAGCATGAGACTCAATCATTCAATTTTTAATTTTGAGCCATATATTATAAATATTTAAGTATAAAGAAATTGTCACATTAATGGAAAAAACAAACGAGTATTTGACTAACGTGACTATATAATTCTGCTATTAACAAAAGGGCTAATTTGCTAAACTCATGCATTTAGAGACTTACATGTCACCTTTTCTTTTCTTTGAGGATTATGTCAGAAAATTAAAAAAAAAAGTCTATTAGCTTAACATTGGGGTTTTGCCTCGTAACAAATTTGAGTTTATTTATCAAAAAAAAAAAAAAAAAAAAAAAAAAAAAAAAAAAACAAATTTGAGTTTTCAGTCTACACGGAACTAAACAGCATCAAAAGCTGTTCCCACCCATGGGAGGCAATAGGCATGTGCCTTGCACTTGCACATGTAGTCTAGTCGTAATTTGTAGGCCCCAAGATGAGTCTAGCTAAATGGAAGGAATTGCATTTTTGCATTGGTTAAAGAGCAAAACATTTCCAGTCAAAAATGCCAACTGAACTGATATTTCAATTTTTATCTTGGAATGGGCGGAATCATTTTGTTTGTGTTCCATTTTCAAAATTTTTGTTTATTTTACCGTAAGAACTTTTGACGGAACAAATGGGCCGCGTGGCGATGATTAATAAGGTCACATAATTTATAATTGTATTTTTATTTTTATTTAATTATTAAAAATAATTAATAATTAATAATTAACAATTAATATTTATTATTTAATAAATTAAAATTAATTCATAAACAAATATTTTTGTATGTCATAATTTTTTTTTTTTTTTGAACATATAAACAAATATTTTTGTATGTCATAATTAATGATTTAACAAAAAAATTATAAATTAATTAAAAAAACAGTTAAATTGTACGGTCATGACAGTTGGCGGTGTGGCCATAACCACGTGCAGACAAAGTTTGGTTAACTACGGTTATATGGGGAGTAGTAAGAGAACTTTGAACCTTTTCTCCTGTCTTCTTCACTAGCATGCCAGAGTAACAGAGGAGATAGAGCTTCTAATTTGAGTTTGTAATTAATTTGATAATCTTGTTTTTCACTATTGATTTGTACCACTCGTAAAGCAAAAATTATTACAGAGAGGATAATTTTTAATTAAAAAAAGGAATTTATAGGGTAGATTAAATATTAAAAATATAATCTATTTTATAAATTTATTATGCATAAATTTATTAAAATATTTTTAATAAAATTATTTTTTATTTTTTTATTAAAAATATTTTAATAAATTTAAAAGATATATTACATTTTAAATATACTGTTTAGATTATATTACATAATTTTTTTAATATCAAAAAATTTATTTATCATTCAACAATTGAATTTAATTTATATAACTTGAATTGCATAACGAAATAATTTCTTTTTATATAATTTTCTGAAAAACATCCAGATATATATCAACACATCTGCACTTGCATTCTCTGAGCCCATCAAGATTCCTCAAAGAATTCCCAAATGGTTCCAAGAGTAACATGCCGAGGTTGTAATCATTTCATCAGAGTCGTTTACAATGATTAATTTTTTTCTTAAAAAAAAAATTGGGTAAAAGAAGAAAATTTAGACATTTCTTCTCCTCCGTAAGGTTACAATTCTTCTAACTGGCTAGCATCGACTTCCTTTCCTGCAATTAAGTGTTCCTGCGCCCATCGTTATGGCACCCACAAGCGAAGACGGCCTCGCTCCCAAACTTGATGCCTTGGCGTAGCTGGACGATGCTCCTGCTCCTGACGGAGTAAAAAATGCACCGTTCATCATTAAATCCCCTTCTGATCTCCAATTCCAGTTCTTCCACTCACTCTGTGGCGCATCTTCGTGCTTTGTCACCTGCCAAATTAATTTAATTTATTATTAGTTATTAATTCTTCACCAAATTTAGTTGACAAAGTGAATTTAATTAAATAATTAAATCTCACACTCACCTCCTTGCTGGACCTATCATCTGGTGCTAAAAATCTGTTCCCTTGACTGTTGATGGTAGGGTTAGCACTCCCTCCAATCGCATACATCTCCCAATGGGTGTAGTCATTGTTCACCACATGGAAGTATCCATATCTGCATCTGTAACATATATATTTATTTTCTAACTTAATAAACAAATTCTACATAAATTTTATTTTATTTAAAATTAACTTTACTTATATGATAAAAATTAAAAAACCATAAAAATAAAGCTATATATGATAATTAAAGTTATTATATATATAATTAATTAGTTACCTCGGCATTCTCTGGACAAGGCCTTCCCCAAAGTGATTGAAAGCTATAGTGACTTGCATGTTCTTGTCTTTAGTATAGGAATCACTATGCCCTAAAAGCATCACTTTATCATGGTGGGTCATGTAATTGTTCGAAATCGTGATGGCCGTGGACCCGTAGATGGCATCGATCAGACCGTCCTTACAGTTTGACAAGGAGCAATGGTCCACCCATATGTGGCTACTGCCGAAGATGGACACACCGTCACCATCCGATATGGTCCTCCATCCGTAATGCCGTGGGGTATCCCTCACCATAGCATTTCCCCCTTGCTTGCAGTCGTGAATGTTGAGCCCGTGGATAATAATGTTGGTCACGAACTGTATGGTGATGCATGGACCGCCGGCAATGTGGACGCTCGCACCCCTACCATCTATTGTCTTGAAGGAGTTCATGATGAGTTCTTCCTTCAATTGGATGGTCATGTCACGAGCGAAGATGATCCACAGCGGTTCGTCCTGAATGACGGCGTGCCTCAGAGTCCCTGGCTTAGGATTGACAGGGTCATCGTCGCCAGAGTCGGTGACCACGTAAATTTTCCCATCTCTTCCGCCAATTGCATTCTTGCCGAAGCCAATGGCGCAGTCAGCCAACCTCTGGCGGTTCTTCTCCCAGTTGGGGTCACAGCGCCAGCAGTCGTCGATGGGATTGCCAGCGCCGCAGGAGAGATAAGCCAAGTTCCTTCTCGACGCATTAACGGCCCTGCACAATTTGGATTAATTAAAAATGTGACACATTTTAAGCTTAAAGTCCTAGTTTGGTGTATATTACAACTAGTATATGAAAAAAAAAATTTATAAATTATATAATAAATAACAGTCTTTTTATTTATCTCAAAAGGACTTAAAATACCCTTAAAAATAGCATATGAAAAGCAATTACCTGTGCACTTCTTGTACAACTAGTTCTGGATCGGGGACTGGGGAAGAGGAAATGATGAGAGGAACAAATAGGAAGGAAAAGAGGAAGAGGACATTAGAAAGGGTTGCGAATGCCATATTGGGGTTGGATGCTGGGAAGGAAGGGAAGTTGGATGGTATATATAAAGGGAAATTAAAGCCGGGCTGAATGGCGTGATTAAACTAAGCAGGTGGGCCCATAGTGCTTCGTGATTTCTGGTTTTACGGGATTCCAATTGGGTAGCTTTGGCCATTGAACAAGGGGTTCAATCAGTCAAAAAAGTCAATACAATTATACAAAGCGGCACTGTATTTTCCTCCGTTTTGATCGGTGACTCTGTTTATTATTAAGTATAATATAGAATGGGACATTAATCACTTCACTCTTCAATTTTTACAATTAACCTTCCTATGTATAATGTACTAAAAAATAAAATGAATCTCTTTTGATTGATCATGCAATACCTTTAAAATAATAAATTAAAAAATAACAAATTATATTGTACTAATTATTATACAAAAAATATTATATATTTATCATTTTTACAAATTTTTACTATCTAAAATGATAGGTAATACAATAATATATAGATAAAGTTATTGTCACAACCTAAATTGTTAATACTGTATCATTTTAATATAATTATCTATTATACTTTTATATTACACTTTATTTCAAAAATTTTTATATTTTTATATTTTTTAATAAATTAAATTATATAATAATCAATTAAAATAAAAATGTATAATATTAGTAATTGAGGGTGTAATAATAATATAATCCGTAATATATATATTCCTATAAATTTATTTTTTTTTACCCAATAAATACATATTAATTTATGCATCTATGACTTTGACATCACCAAATGATTATAAATTTCATTGAAACAAACATTTTCTTTAACTCAATTCTACTAAAAAGTAAGAACACCAATAAATAATATTTGAAGCAAATGGCATCAGCCAACCATGTTTATGAGAGAAATTGATTGAAAACAAAATCAAAGAAGAAAATTGTTTAGACTTGAGACAGCAGCACATGCTTTTGCAATCCGATTCAAACATCACTTCCCTTGTAGGACCGGAAAATTTCATTGAGACGCCATTTTTAGAGACTTTGATGACCGCAAACTTCGCCTAAATTTCTCCTTATCTAAATAAAGAAGACAAGTGTAATGAATAAGTTACAATCTTTTACTAAAATGCTTTTCTAATACAATATAATTATTGAGTAACGATGTCTAAATAACTTTTTTATATAATTATATTATATAAATTTTATAGATTATTAAATAAGTAAATGCATATAATGTTATTGATTTAATAGAGTAAAAAGAGTTAATTATTAAATGATATATAAAACTATATGAAAAAATTATATAAAATAATTGTTTCCTAAAACTATCAATAAAAAATAATGAGGTTAAGGACAATTATATATATATATATATACACTTTATCTTATATTACACAATAGGAAATAACCTCATCCCATCCTTTAATCTACTTTATTTGCATACCATACAACTTAAACTCTTAACTCACTATTTCTTAAAATATGTTTAGGTTGAAAGGAATGGATGAGAAAGAAAGGGAAAGGAGAAAATTCCTTTATTTGGTTATAAAAAAATTAGAGGAGAGGGAAGGGGAAGGAAGTCTTTTATTTTAATTTTTTAATTTATTTAGTTATTTAGATAATAGAAGTGAAAAGAAAGAAAATGAAAAAAATATAATTCTCCTCTCTGCCTTCCCTTTCCCTTAACCTAAATATATAATTACTTTCAAGTTAAATGTTAATTTTGATCTTTCAACTTTAAGGTTTTGTATAATTTTCATCTCTTAACTTTCTTGTACATTTTTTGGTTCTTAACTATGAGAAATGCACATTTTTAATGCTTCCATTAGTTAATCTGTTAAGTCTATATGAACTTGCATATTTTTAGTCCCTTAACTTTTAATATATACATATTTTTAATCTTTCAATTTAAAGTTAAGGAACTAAAAGTATGTATATTTAAACAAACTTAACAGATTAACCGACAAAATGATTAAAAAAGTACATTTTTCATAGTTAAGGGACTAAAAAATGCATAAAAAAATGAGAGATGAAAATTATGAAAATCTTAAAGTTGAAGGACTAAAATTAATATTTAGCCTTACTTTCAATTAAAAAAATTATTATTAAAATGTTTATGTAATTGTGTTCAATCTGACTACAATCATATTTATATATATATATATATATATACCTATCATCAAATAAATGAGTAAATAAAAATTTACGAGTTAAAAAGTTAAAAATTCAACGGAAATCATTTTGAATTTTGTTCTAAATAAATTATGCTGATACATTTTTTTTCTTGGTCAAAAAATTATACTGATACATAGAATAATGCAGCTGGATCTTTTTTCATTTTTAAGGAAGAGTGACTGCCGCTGACATGGCAAAAGGATGACCTCTTGTGCTGCCACTTGTCAAAGCGTTTGTTAGGCCGACACATGGACCGCAGGCAAGGCCGCAGTATCCGTTAATTTGCTGAGCTGGACTGCACACCCCACACCGAAAAGCCACAGCGAAAGGTACGGGTGGATCTTTATTCTTTCCGAAGATCCTCTTGTCTGTCACGGGCAAATCATGGCCGTTGATGATGGATTTAAAGTTGGAGCATCGCCATTGATACGAGACGGCGGGACCAGCGAACTTTTAGTAAAGAAAAATGAAGGTAGCGTTTTTGCTGCAGAGATGAAATAAAAACTAAAAAGCATATATAGGCACGTTAGTTGGTTGGTGGTGGTGGTGGTCTTGATGGTGGCCGGTGGCTGAAAACTACCGTGTAACCTCCTCCCCTCCTGGCCTCCACATTCGTGGTACCTAGCAGTCGAGCCACGTGGCTTTCCCTTTCGTTGCACATGGCAGGCCATGGATCATGTCATTTCACATCAAATTCACCCCGAACGATTTTAATTGGTTAAATGTAATTTTTGATATTCCAACTTTAAAGTTTTTTCGCTCTTTAATTTTTTTTTACGTATTTTTCTAATTTTTTAATTATATGAAATATATTTTTTTTACTTATTTTTCTAACTTATAAACCATAACTTAACAGTTTTAAAAAAATAAAATGTAATATTTCATCTATGTAATAATGATATTAAAATTAATATTTATTTTTATATTTTTTATATAAATTTATGATAAAAAATATTTTTAAGTACATGTTAAAGAAATTCTTTTTTAATTATTTCATTAATTAGCTAATTAAATCTATTTATATATCTACTTTTGTATCCCTAAACTTTAAATTGGAAGTTAAAAAATATACATATATTATAAATTGAGAGATTATAATGATATATATTTAAACAGAATTAATAGATTAATTAATAAAAAAATTAAAAATATATCTTTTGTAATTAAAAAATAAAAAATAATAAAAATTAAAAGACAAAAATTATGTACAACTCTATATTCTAAAAATAAAATTTACATTTAATCATTTTCATCCAACAAAATTTAATTTCCCAATTTGCTGCCCAGTTTACAGATTGGAATTAGAAACGACTTTAGGAGCACAGAGTAGGCTAAGAGGCCGTAGGCCCTCAAATCCACGTGCTCTTCCCTTAGTTAATACGTAGCATTCGATTCTTTCCCCTTCTTCCCCCTCCACACGAAATCTAACCCTTGTTTAATTTTTTAAAAATAAAAATAAAAACGATTTTTTTTGGTAGAATAAGGGATTATATTAAACAAAATAAGTCATACACTATGATCTGGGAAAACAAATTCCCATCATATCAGCCTCAAAATAGAGAGTAAGCTCAGGAGGGCAACAGACAAAATAGCAAAATCCACAAGTAGTGAATGACCGAAAGAGGCCAGGCAAACCGTACATTAATTGGCCTCATGGAAAACATGCTGGACGGTAAGTTAGGAGATTCTAGACATGAACTCCCTGTAATCCAAGATAAGGGAGTAATAAGGATGATGAGAAGGAGAAGAACCAGACAACAAGTGAATGGCAATTAAGGAGTCCATCTATATAATTAGATGCTGCATATTATACTGGCAAGCCATATATATGAACTCCATCTCGAACTGCCCGCAATTCAGCAGCCAAATTGGAGGTGAAATAGAAACGATTTAGAAATGCAAAATTAAATGCTATTGAATCATTATAAATTTCGTCGAAAAACTATTATGAATTTTTCTATTAAAAGATGTTTCCCTTTCACCTTCACCCTTATCTTTATCTTTATTTTCATCATCTTCCTTTTTATTGCAATTCATGTCCACTTAGTTCCATTGATAGCTCAATCCATACTTAGTTCTATTTGATAGCCAATATAATTCCCATATTTCCCTTAGCCTATATCCACTCCTACAAGATTGTATAATGAAATAAAAAGTTCACTATAAAATTTTGCTATTTTATTATTTTTATTTTTATTTTATAATACGTTATCAGCATAATTGTCTTTGTGATTCAATTTGAGATAATATCTTAAGGTAAATTTTTTTTATTCAATTTAAATTTGTTTTCATATTATATTAACATTTGATAAAATTTTGCAATCATAATGTCAAACTTGATAAAACTTGAATTTATTATACTTGATATAATGAGGTTAAATTACTTGTCATAAATATTTGATACTGAAATCTATTTAGCTATGAATACTTTTGGAGACACAATTGTTGAGGAAAATCAAACATATTTGTAAGATCACACTAAAGCGATGATATTTCTCCATCATCATCTCTATGAAGGATTAAAGGTTGAATATTTGACAATTAAAAATCCATTAAAATTATAGCAAAATTTTAAAAAAAGATATGATTATAAAAACCATTGATCCTTCCAAAAGTTCACTATGAATTAATGTATTTATAATCACAAGAGATTTTAAATTTGTTAACAAGTATATCTCTATAGTGTTTTAAATTTTTTTTTCAATTAAAATCATACGAAGAAAATAAGCCCAATGGGGTGGCTGAATGGTAAAAACTTAAGATTTTAAGTTGGAGATTTCAAGTTCAATCCTTAATTTGGGAATTTATAAGATATTTTGAAATAGAAGAAAGTTATCCCCTCTTATATAACTCATAATTAGATA